CTGCTGTTCCAGCCATCCCTACCTTTGCCACCCCCTTTCCTTCGCTGCCATCATCTAGAAAACAACAAGCTTGCTGTTTTTCTGCTCTTTCAGCAGCCTGCTGTCCCTACCAATTCACTTTGCTGACCACTACCACCTCTGGATCTAATCCTAGGGTGAATTTGTGTTGTTGTTTGTTGCAATTTCAGATTTATGTTTGTTTGTTGTAATTTTCTATTGGAAGTTGGTAATAATATTTATTTTTTCATTGTTATTTGGTTTAATAAGTTGGTTTGATCAAATTATTAAAAGGTGTGAACGATTTAGATATCTTGGGTCCGTTGTCCAAAGCGATGGTGATATAGATGGGGATGTTAATAGTAGAATTCAAGTTGGTTGGTTGAAGTGGAGGAATGCTTCGGGCCTTTTGTGTGATAGAAAAGTACCGCTAAGACTGAAAGGAAAATTTTATAAGACGGTGGTGAGATCTGCAATGCTCTATGGCGTTGAATGTTGGCCTTTAAAAGAGAAGCATAATAATAAGTTAAGTGTTGCCGAGATGAGAATGATTAGGTGGATGAGTGGCTTTACACTTAGAGACAAAATGCGGAATGAATATATTCGTGATAGGGTTGGTGTAGCTCCTGTGACAGACAAAATTAGAGAAAGTCGTCTTAGATGGTTTGGTCATATTAAACGTCGACCATTAGATGATCCGATTAGGAGAGTAGATGTTTTAAATTCGACTTGTGTTAAGAAAGGCAGAGGTAGACCTAGGAAGACTTGGGCTTATTGTATTAAAAATGATCTTAATTTACTAAAACTAAATGAAAATATGACACTAAATAGGATGCAATGGAGAAAAAGGATTCATGTAGCCGACCCCACGTAGTGGGATTAAGGCTTTGTTGTTGTTGTTGTTGTTTTGAAATTTTGACCATGAACCACAACTTCTATAGAAGAGCCAAGCACGAATTTTTGGAGCCCATAAATGGGACCTGCTCAGCTAACCCAATAAACTCCTAAAGTTATGATTTCATACATTATCTTATTGGATTTACCGCACATCCATCTTAACATCCAATACATTATGTAATGACATTTTTCAAAGTTACTAACGATGGTAATATTGTTTGAAAGACAATTTCGTATGTTTTTTTAATTAATTTGAAATTTTCTTAAGATTTTTCAAGCGGAGTATGAATACTAACCTCCTGGTTGAAAAACCTATGCAGACAATTTCAACTTGTGTCCCAGCTCAGTTCAAGTCAACCCAATTCTTTACTGCAAGTAAATTTTCTTCTTGATTATGCTCTTACTATTTATTGGCATAATGGTTAAAACCGGACTTTCAGGTTCATGCTTACATTTTTCTTTTCGCAATTATTATTCACATGATAATTACAACTTCTATCTTAATTAGTAAATTTATGATTCAACGATGGCCAATTTACTATGGTGTGTGCTGGAGATTTTTAGCCAACTAGAAATGAATTTAAGCTGGTCAGTAACATGTACTTTCAGTTTGAACCAACTGAACTATCAGAGGGATTTACAGAGTCCAGACAGGCTCGCTCGACTTTGGACACTCTTAAATGACCACTCATTTCCATGAACATTTCATTATTTATACCTATTTTTCTCGTGATAATCTTCAGTCTAGAGCAAAAATATTAAAAAAAAACTGCTTCAACCCATCTACAACAATACAAATGGATATAAAATTAGCTAATGAAGAAGCAAATAATGCAATGTGAACATGGTATGAAAAGCATGTAAATTAAAAAATATTACAGCATAAAAAGATTCTAAAGAAATAAAAGGAACACGAACCTAAAGTCCCTTGTAGCTTTAAATAACCAGTACGTACTTTCTATCAGCTCTGGGCGCAGCGGGTAGCTTCTCTGACCAGACTGAAATGAACCATGGTTAACTGAAGTGGCAATACATAATAAAGAGGATCTGGTTTACAAAACCATACAAGGTTACTTATTTAAAAACTTAAATTTATAAGAAATTATATAAATTGAAAGAATAAAAGTTCATTAGCGAACTTGCGATGCCCACCCAAGTCATCAGTTACCTAAATTTGCAAGAGGATATCAGTCCATGCTCACTCATTAACAGAGAACAGCAGTTGACAGTTAATGATTTAGCAAAACAGTGCATTCAATGTTTGAAGAAATTTATTTATTCTGTTTTGGAGAAAATGTTTTCATAGTTATGGAAAGAGAAGCATAAACAGTAAACTTCTGGAAGTGACTTCAAAGTTAACTGCAAAGTTCTTTTCTAAACAATATAATCAAGATTATCCAAACAGCTGAACAGTGTTTTGCTAGTGTATTTTATTAATTGAAAATATACATGTCGACCTCATTTTGAGGTCCTTACTCTTTTCCTTAGGATCCTAGGATCTAGCTCTAGGGGTTCCTATTGACTATCATAGAAAATTAGTATTGAAATTCATCCCCTTAGAAATTCCAGTCACTTCTTATTTCTCTTATGATGTCTTGCATTGATGATCTCAAAATCATCGTCGTATGGTCTAGTGATTAAGGATTATCATGTGGAAAGGAGAATTTTCCAATAGGATCTCAAGCCGTAGGAAAACCTCTTCAAGACTTTATCATCACACACACACACACAAAATACACAAAATTCACTAAGTTGCACAAGATCAGACTAAAATTGAGCTTAAAGGATGGGTGAAAATGTAAACTTCTTCGGACGACCTCCAATGACAAAATGTACTACGTCAACGCGTCCGGGACATCAATTTTAGCTAGGAAAGATTCATATTGTCATAATTCCGCACACGAGAAATTTGCACGTAAATCGATGAATTCGTTAAAACGATCCCCGACGACGAAACGGACCACGCCCCGGAACGTTAGAATTACCTAAAAATGACATTCATTTTGCTATGATTCGACGCACGAAAAAAAAGATACGAATCAAATTTTATTTTTAGGAAAATTTAAATATTTTATATATTTATATTACTGATTATAATATTAATTTTAATCTTAAACCCTATTTATCCCCTCACCCGCGCACTTAACCTTCCACTCGACCCTGCGGCTCAGTCAGATGCTTGGCTTGTCCCTGTGCATGCCCTATTCGTGGCTCATCCACGCAGCATTCCTCTTCCCCCACACGCGGCATTCC